ACTGAAAGAGCAATTGACGGAAGAATCAAACTTCAACGCCGCGACCAGATGTAAAACACGGTGTAATCTGACAACACGTAGGAGTGAAAGACGTTCTCATCGAAAAAGCAAAGGAAAAGCAGGCAGGTAGCTCTCTCACCGAAAGGCGATAATTACTGATTATGGTGCACTCGTGTCTTAGCGGACAAGACCGCTTACGATCTCTACTGAACGGTTATGTCAGCAGCTAGGAAGGCTGTTTTTGGAGAAAGAGAAGTCTGGAAGTCACAAGGAACTGTAGGCGCCTCGCTACTACGATTCGTCCATAGTTGCCGGCCCATCTAAATGAACTAAGTGAAGTGAGCTGGGTTCAGATATCTGTTTGCGCGCGCAAGATTACGAAATTTTTGCAAAGATTTGAGTAGCCGTTACAAAATCATTTTGCATGTCATGTAAAAAGATGTACGGTTTCGACTTCGGTTTCGCATCGTTGCGTAAAAAAACTTTCGGTTGAGAATTATGGGCCAAGAATAGAAACGTCCTTTGTGAAAATCACAAAACGGCAGAATTATTTGAGAAGCAAAATATGACCGATTAGTTGATATTGCTTTCTATTCCCAGCATATTGCCGTGTATGAGCTATTTTACATGCACTTGTTTTCAACCCATTCTAGTTGCAAAACAAGATTCTTTGGCGATCATTCTATCCTGGAAACACTGCATTTTTGATTTCCCTTTGCGTCTTAGCGCTTTTGACGTGTATTTGATAACTTTGGACAATTTCTCCTCAATTTAACTACAAACGAAACTATTCCGGGAGGAGAAGTCGTTTACGAGGTTGACTAAACTAAGTATCTCGGCTCCATTGTCACAAACGATGGCACTCTCCAACCAAAGTTAAACAGGAAAATCATTCTATTAGACCTGAGAAACGTGTTAATCTGCATGGTAAAGTCACGTCTGTACCTTGTCACTGTTAATGTTGTTATGCTGAATGGAGACATTTATCCTAATGAAAGAACGAGAATAATGGCTCAAGGTTTGTACAGCAGTGACGGCTTTGACTTACTATGAGAGCTAAATCGCAGGAACACGTATGAAACAAATTTTTTCACTTCCGTCACGGGTGACCTCGGTAGATGTAAAGAATAAAGAAGAATGTGCTGTTTCACTAACTGGTTGAGCATGAATCATTTACTACAGTCAATAAACAGAAATACTGTAGAGGTAGAAAAGAAGCGTGCGACACGGATAAACAAGTTACAGGGAGATCTGTTATCGAAAATGAATATTACCTTCTCTAATTCAGCAGTTGGTGTTTTACAAAGAAAGTGTTAGAAAGCAGCAGATACAGCTAACATCACAAACCAGAAATTTAATGCTTGTGTAAGTAGCTGAAGGTGATGATTTCATAAAGCACGCACACAACTAGACCGCAACTTTCTTTCATTTCAACAGTTTCAGAGAAGTGGAATAGTGTGTGAGAATTTGGTCAGGGCAAGATATCATTAGCGAGAGGCAGTCAATTTTACTGCCAAAGTTACAACAGTTGACTACGATTACACTTCGAAGCTTCCAAATAGCAAGAGAAACATTACGCAAATGAGCATAAAAGATTTGGATTTTTAATGTCTAAGCACGTGTTTCGATAAAGAAGCTCAGAATGTGGTATGCATGAGGTATTTTTATACAGTTGCATATGATGTAACCTACTCTTCACAAACAAAAAGATGCGCGAGCGGTAGTGTGATTTGAATTTGAATTTGCGGTCTGTCACCTTGTAATCGCGAGTTTTTTCAAATGTAATGAGAATAATCATTAGGAGTGGCGATGTTTTTAACGACTCATTTTAGACTTATTTAGTTTTGATACATTAGTGTTATCAGAAAGCTTCACTGTTCGAATTTTGGTCACTAGTACGTCTGTAGTGATTATTCCTTGAACTTAAAGTTCAGTAGTTTGTTTAGTGTGAAAAATTATGGATATGTGATGTACACGGTTTTCATCATTTGCATGCTACATCTGCATGATAAAAGACATCTAAAATAAATAATTGGGTTCAGTAACTATTTTATTTTCTTTTGTTCATTTTCAAAAGGAATGCAAGTCTGGTCTTGAAACTAAAATTGATTTTGAAAATTACGCGATTCCTTTGGATTGGGGCACCTGTTAAACTCATTTCATAAACTCTTTTATATTCTTATTTTGAATTGAATATCACAATGAGTTCAAAGCAACTGTCTAGTTTATGCGATTTTTGGTTTAAACAGTTCTTTGAATATGGCTGATTTGATTTAAAATGTGCATTTTCCCAAGTTATGCGTTGTGTTTTAGCCGTTAATTCAGAGCTCTCCTTCATTCCTTCAAAGAAATTTTTTCGTATACTATTCAATACGTTATCCGATTATAGTTTATTGAATGATGTCCCAAGAACCTAATTCGAATGAAGCTCCAAACACGTTTCCATCGAAAGAAGATGCCGTTGAAGTATTGCCGTCAGAAATTAAAGCTTATGAACAGTCGCTACTCTTCGTTGAAAGATTGCTCACCATCTCAGTTTCGACTATTTGCTTTTTACGTGGTTTGTTTCCCAAAGACGCTTTCAGAGACCTGCGCTATGACTCCTCGTGCTTAAAGATTCTGTATACCGGTAATTACAAAGCACAGTGGTAAGCTGTTTACTATAGCAGCTGGTTTTCCTTAGTAGATGCGCTCCTCTTTCAGGCTCATACAGTGCTTGGGTGGTGCGTTTGATGCGCTGCAAAAACAATATCTGAGACAACTAATGCTTGGCGTATATAGAAATCCGAATGAACCAGACACGGTTATGGAGTGCTACAAATTTGGGATCGCTTATCGTAGCAACGGGCCTGAATTAGAGCTCACCGATGAGACGAGAAAGCATACGATTCGTTCTGGTCAGCAGGTATATCGTTTCAGCTTAGGTTGTAGATTTTTTTGTCGTTTGATGGTCTTATTCTATAAACAAATTCAAGAAATTAAATTAACAGAATGTTTATACAGAATTTTATATTTAATTGACTAAATGAACGAAAATTTCCGCCAACGATATCACATTTATTCGTAAATGTGTATAGTAGAAAATGCAGCCTTTGAAGAGATGTATTGTAATTTTTCCGCTCACTAGATGCCTGTTCAATCATCAGTTAGCAGTCGATTAATTGCTTATAAAGTCGATCCTGCAGAAAAATCCAGCAATTAAAAAGTAGTGATTTACTTATTAAAGAAAACGTCTAACTATCGCTCGCTCGTGATGCAACGTCGAAGAACATCGTACATTTTCATGCTGCCTTTTTTCTTTTGTCATTTTTCGTTGTTGATTCAAGTTTACATTTTGCTAGCTCCATTGCTGATAGGTATGGTAGTATAATAAACCTGATTTGCTGATTGATTGAACACGTGATTTTGTGGTATTGCTTGAATGACAGCCCGGAAATTTCGTTGCTTAAAATTGGCAAAGAGTTTTCAGCATTATACGTTCCTCTTGTGTTTGTGTACTATCCAGAATTCGACCTGACTTGTAGCATTTTATAAGTCAAAAATCCTGTAACTTCGAAGCTCGTTGATACCAGTACACAACCTTACATCAATGGTCAGGCTGACGGTTACTTCAAGCAAATATTTGTTAAAACCTGATGAAGCAATAAATTATGTGCTAATAGGTTTTTAACTGCCGTTCAGGCTGTGAAGTAAAAAAATGAAATTTTTTAAAATACATTTATATGGACTGATGTATGTTTAGGTCAAAAGTGCCCTTGAAAGGTCGCTTTTTAATTTTCATACGTTGTGTCAGAATCTCAAGCATATCGACGACGAAGTTTTCGTCACAATAAAACTGTTGTATTACAACGACCGTACGCCAGCTAGTTACGAACCGCCAGGATTTGGTCCAGGGATTCACGATAATTTTAACTTCCGCTTCGACTGCCGTACCGTTAGGCCTGTAGTGATGAAGGCATTCAAAACAAAAACCGGCTACCATTCGCTGAATCTGTGTGTCGAATCAGTGCTCTGTGCACGTGCAGAAAATGGCGAATATGCGGAGGTAAGTTTACAGATAACTGCTTATATATTTTTAATAATCGAGTCGTCATTAATTTATGTCACGTATAATATGATATGATAATTTTTGGGACTCCGTGGTTGGGCGCTTGCCCATTTCAATGAATCCCGAAGGTATGTCAGTGGAAGCCTTGAAGTCTGGTAGGGCCAACCATGCTGGCCACATAGGTTTGAGGCCAGAGGCTCGAGTATCAGTGATCAGTAGATACTGCAACAAGTCTTTTACACCCGTTTTGGAGAACGGAATGAAGAAGAAATCAAAGAATTCTTGTACTGCATCGGTTTTCGCGTAGGATCAACCGGCTTGCGGCGCAGATTTTGCCATATGGTATGTGTCGTCAATTCTGCTATGGCGTACCGTAGTGACAGAGGCAGATGCTCGTAAGTAACAATTGTGATGAGCTGTTGCACGGCACAACGTATGGTCACTGCAACGAGAGTAAGAACAATCAGGAGGAACATTAGGGAAGTCCCCTCTCCCCCAAATAATCAATGAAGAAGAAAGCAATCATGAGGTCAAGAAAGGAAGTGTGATATCCAGACTTGATGAATAGAAAAAGAGAACTCTTCATTAGCGTTACTGTGCTGCCCTTATGCCTGATAGAATTGACCTGAAAAAGTCCCTTGCTTGGTTTCGAGAGGGAGGAGTATTTTCTGAAACAGACAAACTTATGAATGGCGATGCAAAATCAAGTGGAGATTGGGAAAAACTGTAGGAAATTCATTATACGTGAAACATCCTTGATAACTGTAAGATATGCGTCAGCGCAACCTACTGTCGCAGGTTGTTTCGTTTTGGCACAGTAACGTCGCAAAGATCGTATACAAAAACTGGCTCTTAAGAGAGGCATCATCTCAGGAACGTCGCCATACCGTCGATACCATACAGAGAACGTTTCGACCACCTTATGTTCACGGATCACACTGTTGTTCACAAACCCCCGGGCATTCATCGTGGATCGCAAGGACAGAGCAGCTTTAATAATTAGATGCTGTTCCATCAGATGAAGACTTTTAAATTCATACACTGAGAAGATAGAAGCATATCGAAACGTGATCGTCGACCTGACTCAGGTATGTAGGATAATGACTGTACGAACAACAGCAGTTGTTATCTCCGTAAATGCCTCATTTTAAAATCGATGACGACGAGCTTGAAGTACCTGAAACTCACAGAAAGTCTATTAATGTTCACAGCAAATTCGCAGAAATCTTGATGTGGATGCTTGCAGAACAGTGTGGATCATCATGCATATTACAAATTAGTAGCATGCCGCAGCTGCTTGACTATGCTTAGCACCTGCTGTTAGCGAATATTCTCTGTTGGTGAGAATGTGAATTAAAACTTGACTTATGATCATATCAGACTTAAAAAATAAAATCATGTGGATATGTCTTTTGATTCTTTGGCCTGCAGCTCTAACGCAAAAAGTTTTATTACAGATGCAAAGTTCTGTGCTTGTTTTAAAGTCCATTGAAAGTTTATCTTGTATTTGAAGGTTTATACAGTTCACTTAAATGTAGCTAAAATGCTGACACCAGTTACATTCAGATGATTCTGTTCTTGACGCCTTTTTCAGCTCTGTAGTAGGATATGAAGTTGTCTTCCTCCCTACTCAAGCTTGTTGTTTTTATAAAATATGGTATATACTTAAGTCTGGTGCTTAGGAGGACCCAAGAGAATAAATGCTTTAGGGGTAAATTATAAATTTGCTCAAGTGCTGCTAAGTTTGAAACTTAACTGACTTCCATACGTATTTTTTTTTAAATTATAATTATTGTCGCTAAATTTGTTTGTTCTGTATTATATTACACAGACAAAATAAACTACGGTTATACTTCATTTTTGCAGGGTGCCGCAAATGCAGGATACAAACTGCATAATCCGTTATTATCATTGGTTCACCGCAGAGGTGCGGAAAAGCCTTCACTGGACTCTACCATTAATCAAACAAAGAGTCGTCGAAAAAATGCTTCGATAGCACCTGCAGGTCCCCATCAGAAGTATGCCGAAGTGTATATGGATTCTGATGGTAGGATTTCAGGTTTTAAAACTGTTTTACTAGCACTGAGTTTCCATCGTTTTTGGAGTACGAATTTGTCATGAATGTATTTGATCGATTTGAAATAACAATGAAAATTAGATCTTTTGCTATGTTGTTCTTCCGGTTGATATTGTGCTGATAGTTTTTGTTCGAAAGGAATGGAAATAGACGGTTGATTGTCTAACTGGTGCAATTACATTTGTGAATCAGATAGACTGGTTCATGATTTTCTGCGTGAAAGTAAATTTCAAAGGTTTATTGAAATGTACGTTACCTTGGAGAAACAAATAAAATCAGATTTCATAACCTGTTAACGTGTATGGGCGGGAGTTTTAGGGGGCAGCTAAGTTGAGAGGGCCCTTCGAAGTAGATTTTTATTTTATGCTATCTCTAAATGAGCAACTCTTTACGCTGTAGTGGTCAGCAAGCCTTAGAAGATTGTTCAGAAAAATAGTTGATTCTTCAGCTGGTGGCATCCATCACAAGACACAGAATTTACGAAAACAAGTTTGATTAAAGGTGGCCCATCATGAAAGTGTAAGTGTGGGCTTACTCTGTGAATATGGCACGTTTAACATGTTTTAAACTCGTAGAGTGTTTCATTCATGTTATTTGTATTGGAAATTTTAAAAAAGATTGATCTGCGGATGGCATCTTATTTCTATGCGTGTAATAACTATGAAAAATGTTTTCTTTTATTTAGGGGTATGTCGAAACGATAATAACTTTGAAAAGAGCTTTCCACCATATTTTATTTTTTTAAGACCATCGAGGTGTTTTGAACAATGTTTATTGTCCCTGTTTCATGAAGTGATCCATCCTAGGTGATCTGAAAATTTTGTAACTTCCGTACAGGAAGTCGGCGGTATGTGATTAGATTTCATAGTGTTCTCATAGGAGATTATCGTTGAAGGTGATTTTCCAATTCTCTCGCAATTTAACTGTTGAGAAATTGAGTTTATTGACAGCTGACTTGCTGTTGGTGTACTATCAGACAATTTTTCTGTAAAATTATCGTCAAATTTAATATCATATATATGAAGTAAAATATTTATGCAAATTTTAAAGCTAAACACGGAGGTGGATTCATTCATCTGGGCATTTAGTTCGACATTTCAACAGATCCTTTACGGGATATTACGGCATTTCACATTGAATATATAGAAGTTCTCCAGCGTTTCAGATCATGCTCGATCTATCTTCACGGAGAGACATTTTATAATATATCTCTTTGTAGAGTGATCGAGTTTGTTTTTACAGTGATGCTAATCATTCTGTGTAATTTATTTAATATGAAAAACTGACTAAATTTAGGAGTAAATGTTTGCTGTCTGATGCCTCTAAAATGTTTAAACCGATGTGGCTTGATATAGATTTAGATAATAAACGTTATTGTTACTCTTTCCCTACGTCAACCAATGAACTGTGCTTTACTAGATAGATTTTTCAAGAAGTTAAACTCCATTGATATGCTTGTGTTCTTTTTAGTATTTAATTTTTCAGCGTTAATATAAATCGCTTTATATTGTGAAATTTTTATAAATTTAGTTAATCAGTGAGTCAATTTTGGCGACTGCTTATCCTTTCGGATGACGGAGTCAGGCGCATTAGACAATGTATCCAACGTTCCCAATCTTGTGTGATCATTTGAGTTCAACAGAAGATAACCGGAGCTTAGAGCAGAATTCGTCATGACACTTGCTCCGGGTTATTCTCGGTGGTCCTGAGCTCAGCGGTCTGTTTTGCAAGTAGGAGCTGTTTCGCTTTAGTTTTTCGAAACATTCGCAATTCTTGTCCAGATATCGCCGCTTTGACTTCTCAATCTGGACAAGCAGAGACTGTACAGCAAGGTTTTCTATATTTTCTGTACCCCGGATCATGTTGAGACGAGTGAACCCTGGTATTCGTCTCAGGAAGTCCATTTCATCAGCTTTTATTTGGAATCGATATTTTTCATTTATGGCCCACGACTCATGACCGTAGGTGAAAATCTGGATGAAATACGACTATAACACAGAAAGCTTAAATAAATGTAGTATAAATTGTAAATGTACATTTTTCGTGGTAATTCTCACTTAGAAAATGTTCAGAATGATGCTAGTTTTCCGTCAAAATTATGCAAGTAATTAATGTTGTTGATGGCTGTACTATTTTCGCTAAACGCATGAAATCTAATTTTCGAAGAACTGTAAACCTTGCAGACTTTCATGTTTAACATACTGCTTTCTAATTAACGTGCCGTTAAGTCATTTTTACCATTTTTTTAATGTAATTGGAAGATCTTGTGATACTATATTCACTCTTTTTATGCCAGATACGGAGAACCTTGAGCATGCTCACAACGTCTCCGAAGGCCATGAAACGGATGCTGTTCGAGATTCGAACAAAGAAAATTGCGTCGAATACTCTTGCCTGTGTGGTACATCGCGGCAAATGAAGCACAGACTGACTTGCAAAACATGTGGAACCTATCAGCACGGCGTGTGCTATGGGCGGCTTGATAATCCCTTACCATTGGTAAACATGTCTCATTTATGCATGCAAATTTCAATGTTGATTTTCAGAAAACGTGCTGTTTGCGATGTGCGTTAAAGAAGTTAGGAATGTGCCACGATATGAAAGTTTTTTCGAACACTAAAATTGCGAGGTTATTGGCCATCTACCGTCAGGCAATCTATGCTCTGATGACGAATCCGGAACAGTGCATAACGTTTGATCACTTTCGTAATATGCTGCAACAAAAACCAAAGGTTTTGGCGAAGGTGTGGCAATCCCTTGAAAAACGAAGATGTTTGTCTGGCGTTGGAAGCGAAAAACGAATCGTTCGACAGGCAGTTATCCGAATTGCTGGGTTGCTGCTCGATTTGCTGCCCGAAGATGCTTCAGGTCACTCATTAAAAAACACCAAGGACTTAAAGTAACGTCTTCCTTTCGATGGTCTTTAATCAAAACCTTTAAATTGCTAATAAATAATACTAAACGTTAACACTTAAAAATATTTTTAAGTAAATTTTATCTTGTCTTAAAGCTTACACCTCATATGAACTCGTTATTATTCACGTTGCTCAAACCGAATTCAGTCTTTAAAGCGCACGCATCAAACTGTACAGTTGTAAGTCTTGCAGACTCTAACACTATGGAGTTCCTATATTTTGTTGCCGGTCAATGAATTGCCATATGACTGAATGAATTCTTTGCTGAAAATTGGATTTGGTCCGGAGTTTATAGTGTATGGACTCAAATTTCTTTTCACTACGTCGTTGTCGCTAATGTACAACACCACGGGAAACACTTTATTAAATGTCACTCAATGTAACATGTATGAAAGTACTTGACTCGGTAATACGAGATAGTCAAGATGTAATTACAATTACCGTTTATTTGAAATTTACAGCAGTTTCGCCATGACGGAGAGAAATTCCTTCACCTCCGTTCATGAAGATGAATCTTATCTGGATTAAGATCGCTTCGGCAACTGAACGCTCTTTGTAGTTGCCATCGCTGTTATGGTTATGTAGCTAAAGTTAACGCTGTGTTCGGTGAAAATTTGCTGAAAGCTTATACTTAGCTTTTTTTTACAAACGTCGCATTTCTTCGGTAGTTGCGTTCGTTATGATAACTGCCTTCTTGTATGCTGTTCTGTTCTCTTCTGCTATCCATGTTGCTAATTGTCTGGCGGTTTGATTGACGAGAAAAATTAAACTGTAGTTATAACCCTTGTATTTTTGCAAAGATGGACAATTTTATATGCAATGAATCTATCGGATATACACACAGGATGACCGATTAATTTAGCATGCCTACCGTTGGTAAGCAATGGTACTTGCTAAAAGGCGTATTACTTCTCACCTTTGAATTTATGGAGTTATTTTATTTTGTTCTTTGCGATTCATACTCTGGTACAGTATCCCCACAAACATTTCCCAGCTTTACATCATTACACTATCTAACCAACTTACGATTACGATGCCTGCCAAGGAACGTTATCCAGGAGTTGGAAGGATAGAAGAAACGACACTAATTATGACCCACCGTGCAAATAGCTCGCCATTTTGAGATGCAAAATTGTTTCAACTATTCTAAGGAGTAGATTAAGGAGTAAGATAAGTTAAGCTATGAATTACAAATGATTTCATTTAGTTGTCCTTCATCTTCATTTCCAAAACCTTTTCTTCTTTCGGGTCGCGAAGGCAGACGCGTCGGGCAGTGCTTCCGGTGACAGAGTCTGTGCTTTGGCCGAAGACAAATGGAGTCTGGACCAGACTCCTTCCGTGTACTTCTACAAGATTCATAATAGATGCTTCGCTTTCTTTTCTAGAGGAACTAGAATCAAATGCCCAAACTATTGCAGCTGTGACTTTTAATCTAAGGAAGAAGCGATTCTACGCCAAGGTTCTCGCGGATGTCCGTATGCCTTACTAAATCGAGACGTGTAAAGCCAGTGACTCTTCTCAGATAGTCCATTTAAGCCGCTTATACTCGGGATCGAAGTTTTTCAGTCATGCTACACGACTCATGACCGTAGGTAAGCATGGGGATGAAGATCGACTTGAACACAGAGAGCTTAGTCTTCAGACTGAGCTCTGCTTTTGTCACAGTGGTTTGGGGTAATTCACGAAGAACGCCATTTGTTACTCTGTCGATCTCTTGTTCAAATTCTCCATCTGCTGTACTGCTTCTTCTTTAATCTGAAGAGAGCAATGGGTTGGAGAACCAGGCTTTTCGTTTTAGATGCGTTTGCTCCCTTTCCGGCCAGGTCGCACTCGGCTGCGAACCTTTCTAGGGAGTATTGTACATCAGTTTCAGAAGATGCCAATAAAACAAGGTCGTCTGCAAACAGCAACCCTACCGTTTTCACATCTCCTAAATCGATACACTCATCGCCTTGGCTGCTCCTGGCTGTTTTATCCATGTACAGCACAAACGGAAGAGGGGACACAGCGCAGTCTTGGTGGAGACCAATGCCAGCGCTGAAGGGCTTCGACTTAACGCCATTTACTTTGACGAAGCACCTGTTTTCAACATATAATAATTGAATTGCCCGTAGCAACTGGCTATCAATCCCGTATGTTCACAGCCATCCCCAAAGACAGTTCCGCGAAATCCGGTCATAGGCCTTTCCTAGGTCAACAACGCACAGGTAGAACTCATTGGCGAACTCCTACGATTTATCAGTCTGGCGTTGGGCAAATATCTGGTCAGAGTTGCTTCGACCGGGACAAAAGCTACACTGCACTTCTTGTATTTTGGAGTGAGTTATTCCGCAGCACCTCCTTTCTTGCACCTTTGTGTAGACTACCTGAAATTCTGAATAAGGTAATGCCCTGTTAACTGGAGCACTCCATGTGGTCTCTCTTCTTTAACAGGGTACATCATTCCCCGTTCTTCAGTCCGCTGGCATCTTCCCAGAAGGCACTGCAATTTCAAAGACACGTGTAAGCAAGCGCATTCCTTATTCGCCTAAAGTTTTGAGCATTCCAGGGCGAATTTCATCAATTGCAACAGCCTTTCCACTTTTAAAGCTTATCACAGCTTGTGCAATTTAATCTACAGAGATAGTAATATCCGTTCCTTGCTGTTCTACAGGCGTCTTCCTGCGGTTGCTCGTGGTCAAGGAGTTCCTCAAAGTACTCCCTCCTTCGCCAAAGAATGCCCTCATCTTTGGTAAGATAGTGTGCAGACCTCTCCTTTAAGACTGTTAGACTGCCATTCTTTTCACTTCAGAGCCAGCGAATGTCTGCCAGAATGCCTCGTTTGCCGTTTGGTAATTCGACTCCATCACCTCACTAAACCTCTCCTAGCACTCAGCGTTGGCTTTCGCCACTGATTTCGCTGCCGTCTTGCGTGCTTCCGTGTATCGCATGCGAGTAGAAGTCTCTTTGCTGCTTCCAAGCCATTTCTTGAATGCAGCCTTTTTTCTTTAACTGCAAGTTGTACCTCTCATATTCGCCAGGAAGTTCTTTTCTGACCTCTAGGCGGCAGGCGAACCGGTTTAAATCCGCGGCATTTGGCGGCAGCCTCGAGTTTGCCACTCTTAAAGAGCTGCCACTCGGTTTCCACATCAGTTATCATCACCGGGATCTGTTCAAACCGTCGTGCGATGTTTGCAAATTTTGCTGTCGTGTCCACCGAAGATAATGTTTCCCAATTGATTCTCCGGTTGCATCTACCACCAGATCTTCGTATGGTACTCCATTTCTTGCA